GATTGGTTATATAGTGTTGAATGACGGGGTGTGAGCTGTGGTATCCGGTGTGGGATGGCCATTCTTGTTAGATTAATTTGTAGCTATTGGTGGCAACACTCAGTCTTGAGTCCATACAACAGGTGGCTTAGAAATAACGACTTACCTCAAGGCACCTGCGGCGTGACTCCTCTCATTTTAACTCTTCCCGGGGCCTGATACTTCCTCACGTTCCTCAGATTAAAACTTTATTTTCTTTCTCACTAGGTTCGGGGCTTGCTTTGTGGGAGAGGAGGCCCTTGCTTCCATGGCTGCCACGGGGAAGAGGATTGTGGCTTCCGTGACTCACGTCAAAGGCAGAGGCCGTCAGAGCTGGGCTTCTGAAGCCTGCCAGTCTCCTTCGGCTCCAAGTGCTCAGCAGGCGAGAGCCCCACACTGTGGCTGTTGTTCTCAAGGTTATTTATTTGTGAAGCTACATGCTGAGTTGTCTGGGCGCAAAGCCGCCCCCCTCGTCCCCAAGGTGTCTGCAGCACCGCGCGGCGCTCTGCCTAGAGTCGGCACATCATCAACGCTCACTGAATAAATGAACACATACCTTTTATTCTTTCAAGAAAAGTCTTCTGTTTCTTTGTCCTGGCTGCTCTTACCGTCTCTCCAGGCTTTTCTAGCCCCAGAGCTGACAGTCCGGCAGGAGATGAAAAACACAGTCAACTTTTGGCCAAAGATTCTAGACCGTGGACGAGGGCGGGCTGGGACTGGTCTTGTGAAGTGCACGGATTTGAGCTTTTATTAAAGAAAGATCAGTTTCCTCCTGGGAACAGGATAAAACCGAGAGGTTTGGCTGGGGCTGGCAGGGCAGCAGGCGCCATCCACTGGGAGCCTGTGTGCAATTCAAAGAGATGAGAGAAGACAGTCCCCGGGGGAGGAGAACTCATCCAGGAAACGAAGGGCAAGGATGCGCTGAAAGATAACAGCTGCATTGTTTCCACATTTTCAAAACCTCCGTTAAATGTTCTAAAATCCTCATTAGCCTTACAAATCACAAGCCTTTCGCCTGCAGACATAAGAGCGTTTTAGAGATGCAGGTCTCTGGCTGACCCAGGAAACCCTACGTTAAAATGACGAAAGAAACTGCGAATCGGTAGAGCTCGGCACAGCTCCAGACCGAGGCAGGCTCCTGTGAGGCGATCGGAGGGGCGGCCACCAGGAGGGCCTGTCTCTGGTCTAGGCTGGGAGGGCAGGACTCTGTGCAGTGAATTGAGGAAGCTGGGAAATGTTTGTTCAATTAAATATTTCAGCTGTCAGCCAGGATACCTGAAATTCCTCCTAAGAATCCAGATCTGGATCTCACACCTTCCCTCCCACGTGTGTGCTCGCCTCACACCTTCCCTCCCACGTGTGTGCTCGCCTCACACCTTCCCTCCCACGTGTCTGCTCGCCTCACACCTTCCCTCCCACGTGTGTGCTCGCCTCACACCTTCCCTCCCACGTGTGTGCTCACCTCACACCTTCCCTCCCACGTGTGTGCTCACCTCACACCTTCCCTCCCACGTGTGTGCTCGCCTCACACCTTCCCTCCCACGTGTGTGCTCGCCTCACACCTTCCCTCCCACGTGTGTGCTCACCTCACACCTTCCCTCCCACGTGTGTGCTCACCTCACACCTTCCCTCCCACGTGTGTGCTCACCTCACACCTTCCCTCCCACGTGTGTGCTCACCTCAGGGCCGTATCATACCTTCGCTCCCGTGTGTCTGCTCACCTCAGGGCCGTATACCCCAGAAACCACTGTGCACCTTTGGAGCTTGCCTCGTGAGTTAATGCATTCATTTTCCCCAGCATTGGACAGCAAGCCAAGAGCAGTATCCTGCTGGCATGGAAAATGAAGGAAATAAACTTTACTGTGGGGAGAAACCCAGGAAAGAAAAAACAGGGGCACAACCCTTCAGAAAACCAGACCCTGGGAAAGCGAAAGCCCCCGGGCACGCGGAACATCTGGAAAGTGGCTGTGAAAGCACCAAGGGGAGAGAAAGCAAGAAGGGGGGCTGCAGGGGCTCCCAAGAACCTCCCTAGACCCCAGCCCTCTGTTCTCACTGCCTGCCCCTCTCGCACCACTCACGGGTGGTCCTGGATGAAGCTGCAGGCTCCAAGACCTCATCTGAGTCCCACTTAACTGGGCCTTATGCAAGTCACAGGGCCCCCAAGACTGTTAAAATGCCTATCAAGTAAAGATCAGCATTAATTATGACGCAACGAAGGCAGTTGACACCTATGGAACCACGGTGTGCTTGAGCTGGTGGAGACTCATGGGGCTGCAAACCCAGGATCTGCCCTTGCCTTATCAGCTGGAAAACTGTGTTTGCACAGGCAACATGGAGAAGGGCTCTGGGCCCTGCTGATGGTTAAATAGGGGATGAAAATGAAGGATTCTTCCTTTTCCATGACAGTTCCAACCATGAACCTGTGTTCGAAGGGCCAGTCCACCTGCGGCCACCTCTGAAGGCGGCATAGCCCAAATGCACACACCCTGAGAGGAGTGGCTCATTCAAGGTCAAGACAAATGTGGGCGCAGAGCCCCAACCAAGGCTCTTAGCCAGTGACCTCCAGCTGCTGATGGGGGCCTTCTCCGGAATCGAGGGCATGGTCCTACTGCAGAGCCCTGGCCTCCTGCACCCTGCCTGTGCCTCAGCCTCCCAGAGCTCATCTGTCACTGAATTCTAGCCCCAGTGCGCATGTCCAGCCTGGAGCTTTGCCTCTCCTGAGACAGCCTCACCTGCCCCTCTATCTGCCTGTAAGCTCCCTAGAGCAGGATAAGCCATTTGTCATTTCAATGGGATATGCACATTCAGATATTAGAGGCCTCTAATTTACTGGGGTTCCAGGATGAGAGACCCAGGAAATCATTACTGCTTGGTTCTATGAGGCCCTTTAGCGTAACCCCAGAGAAAGCCTTGGCGACCTCATCGGGTGCAGGTGACTCTGCCCCTCCTTCCTGCTCGCTGCCGGCGGGAGGTCCCTGTGTGTTTTGCTTCCATTCGGCAGGCCCTGTGCCTCCCCACACACAGGCAGGCCTGGCTTCCTCTTGGTCACCCCGTGGCCTGCTTCTCATCTCTGCGGGCTCAGTACCAGCGTGTGATGGAGTGTGGCCCATCTCCCGCGGGTGCTGGCGGATCACAGGAGGTTCCAGGCCCACTGTGCATGGCCCCTGCACCTGCTCCTCAGTCCTCTGCTCCTAAATTTTCTTGTTTTCTCCGTATCGGAAAGTGGGGTCTTGCTATACCAGGTAATCTGAGCCCCCGCCAGCACTTGCTGTCACTTGCTTTAAGACAGTCACACGGTGCGTGGGATGCCCTCTGAAGTTTCCATGACAGGCAGCGATCGCCACGGTCCCCAAGACCCGGCGTGGGAACCAGAATTCTGGTCTAGAGGAGACAGAGTTGTGTATCCAGGAAGCAGCCTGGGAATCAGAACCAAAGAAAAATATCCCAAAATAAAGAGGAGAAGTCCTGTGTGTGGGGGCGGGGGTGGGGGAGGGGCTGGGTAACAGGAGAGCCCAGTGCATGGAAGCCCAGAGTGCTGTTGTCCCTGCCTATGAAGGCAGCTCACAGAGCATCGGGTCATGCAATGTGACCCACGGCTGGCCAAGGCCGCGGGCCCCTCAGGCCGGTCAGGGGACACGGAGGCCTGGGAGTTTCTCGGGAACTGCGATCTGGAGTAGCTTGCAGGAGACCAACTCATTAGATGAAGATGATGCTTCAGCTCGTATTTCCCAAAAAGCAGAGTCCGGGGCCACGGCTTACGTGCGTTGCCTCACTAAGGAGCACAGTCTCCAGCACACGCGAAGTGAAGTGGGCAGGAGCTGGGCCACACACACGTGTCACGGAGCTGACGGACGGATGTCATGGCTGAGGTGTACCCGGGGCCATCCCTGACACGCCACACAAACCTCACCTCGAGACCAGTCTCAGCAGGGAAAAGGTGAGACAGTAACCCCTCGTCTGCCTCAAGCTGGTATCTTCCCCAGGGCACATACTTCCCTCACACTTCCAGATGGCCCCGTGGGCTCCACTCCGGTCTCAGGGCACTTTTCTTTCTTACCTAGACTCCCCGGGGCCAGCCCGGATGCGAGGTGCCGTGGCCTCGTGCCCCCGAGGTGGACCTGCGTGCTTGCAGTGTTGGCCCCACAGCCACGACTGGGCTGGAGCAGAAGGTAAATCGGGCCCAGAGACATGACGGGGAGAACGCAGCCTCCTCAGAGGAGCCTGCAGTGGCATCGCTGTGCTGAGGACCCCCAGCCCTGCAGGGTCGACCTCCGCCCCACGACGGCCCCACCAGGCCCAGGGCTGGAGTCACCCCTGCTGCCTTGGCCACCACGGGAGGAGGGACTCATGTTTTCCATCTGAACTCACCCCTCAGCCACCTGCATGGCCGGGAGGAGAGGAATCAAGGTCCTGGAGACTCCCGGAGGTTGTGGCTTTGAAGTAAGCAACACGCCTCCTCCCGGACCTGCCTCCTTGAGGTCTGCAGCATTTAAATACTATAAGGATCACTGGGGTTTCTTTTTCAATCTGTCCAGAGGAAATAAGTAGATTAAGAATTAGCCACGGGGAAACAACAAAGCCTGGGGACAAAGCCGGCGCCAGATGGGAGGTGGCCGGGTCCTCTGGGAGCCACTCGGATTCACTGTGTCCCGTCGGCTCCCGAAGCGGCACCCGGGGGCGTTGGGAGAGACCCGGCCTCCTCCTCTGCTGCCAGAGCCCGAAGGCACAGCCGGGAACGTGCTACCAGCCGCCCGTCCCCAGGGCCCTGCGTGGAGAGGGGGGTGCTTGGGCAGGGGTTGCCCTGGGCTCCAGCAGGCCCGCGGTAGGCCCTGTTCTAATTCAGTTTGTGCCCATATCGGGCACATTTTAAGCTCTTTTTCTGTGGTGAGGGAGCTCACAGGCTTCCTGAGGAGACGAGCTCTCCACTGAAATTCCGTCTAAGCATCTGAGCTTCACTCACCGCCCCACCCCCCCCGGGAGGGAGCCTGACGGAATCACGGTTTTGTTCTCGTTCCAGCACGAGCCACAGGACAGAGATTCGTGTGTTAACAGTCACTCTGACGCTGAAAGAAAGGAGTGATTATTCCCATTTTACAGAGGAGGAAACTGAGTCTCAGGGGTGTTAACTGCGTGGCCAGCAGTCAAAGAGCCGAGGGGGATGGAGACGGGATGTGCGGCCGGTGGGGCTTCCCGGGGCTTGAACAACAGACACCGCATCCCTGAGGGAGGATTTCACATGACCTGCCTGTGGAAAGAAAGAGTCAAGCTGTTTATCTGTTCTTCAAGTAGGTATCCACCCACGGTTACAATGGAGAGGGTTTATCTTCACGCTTTTTTAAAAAATCGGCTTTAAAGAGCAACCAACAGATTTGGCTCAGGGCAGTAACCGAGGGCAAACGCGTTGCTGGCAGGGAGTGCAGCTGCGGGAGCATTTTGGTACGTTTATGTTCAAGGGTTTGACTTTTTTATTTTCTTTTTCAAAGCAAAAGTAGCTTCTAATTTTTCATCTTAGTGTGTCCAGCGCATCAGTTCCTCTTGTGCCCGTGTATACTCAGCAAAGTTTAAATGCAGCTGTCCTGGCCCTCGGGGATCCGCAGATTCTGGGTGAACGATGGTGAGGGGCCCTCAGGCCAGACAGCAGCAGTAACTTCTCCCAGGTGCTTCTCACTGTCTGCCTGGACTCAACGCTGTCAGCTCTAATTGACCCTTTAAATGGTGTGGTGCTGGGGGGGGTGTGTGTGTCTGTGTGTGTGTGTGTCTGTGGGTGTGTGTGTGTGTGTGTGTCTGTGTGTGTGTCTGTGTGTGTGTGTCTGTGTGTCTGTGTGTCTGTGTGTCTGTGTGTCTTTGTGTGTATGTCTGTGTGTCTGTGTGTCTGTGTGTGTGTGTGTGTGTCTGTGTGTCTGTGTGTGTGTGTCTGTGTGTCTGTGTGTGTGTGTCTGTGTGTGTGTCTGTGTGTCTGTGTGTGTGTGTCTGTGTGTGTGTGTGTGTGTGTCTGTGTGTGTGTGTCTGTGTGTGTGTGTCTGTGTGTGTGTCTGTGTGTCTGTGTGTGTGTGTCTGTGTGTGTGTGTGTGGGGGTGTGTCTGTGTGTGTGTGTGTCTGTGTGTCTGTGTGTGTGTCTGTGTGTCTGTGTGTGTGTGTCTGTGTGTGTGTGTCTGTGTGTCTGTGTGTGTGTGTGTGTGTGTCTGTGTGTGTGTGTGTGTGTCTGTGTGTGTGTGTCTGTGTGTGTGTGTCTGTGTGTGTGTGTCTCTGTGTGTGTGTGTGTGTGTGTCTGTGTGTGTGTGTCTGTGTGTGTGTGTCTGTGTGTGTGTGTCTGTGTGTGTGAGAGAGAGAGACAGAGAGAGACCGAGGCAGACAGAGCACGTGCAGAGGACTTTCTTCTCCTTTGAATGACCAGGTGACCTCAGCTGCGGCCGGGTGAGGAGCTGCTTCTCTTCTGTCCCGTGAGCGTCTCCCGGGTATTTTGCCAGCCTCATCCTTTCTGTGATCACAGATGGAATTTCTACGTTTCTGACACCAGCCCGACTGCAATTTAATTCTCACAAGGTATTTCCCGAGATTGCTGGTGCCCAATTCCTGAGCCTCCCTGGACACAGAGCAGCACCCGGGCACAGTAGTTGGCATGACGAGACCACAGGATGCCAGGACTGGGAGTGACGTCGGAGACAATAACCCACACACCAGCCTTGAATCCTGAAAGAAGTTTGCTCGTGGGGAAATTAGGGCCAGGCGTGTGCAGTGGCTCTGCCGGTCATGCCTTGTCCTTCCTCCATCCAGCAGGCCCTTCTCAGGAGTGTGATAGAGGCAGAGGCAGAGCGGAACGGGTGAGTTTTCCGCACTGCTGAGCTGCCCGGGTGCGAGGCTGGCGGGGAGCTTGGGACGCACGGGAGGGCCCTACACCCACCTCGTGTGAGCTCCGAAGCCCAGGAGCAGAGAGGAGGGTGGAGCAGCACTGTCCCTCCCGCACAGGGATATACTTAACGTGTGTTCCCATAGCTACACTCACAAAATGCCACAGAGGCTTCCAAAACCCATCTGTTTGGAATGTATCCAGGGTTTACACTGAAAATACCAAAATCCTTAAAGAGACTTCAGCCTCACAAGAGGCTGGTGATTTGTAAGTTTGCATCCCGCATGCGATCTGGACGCCATGTTCCCAGCTCAGGGAGACGTTACGAGTTCCCCCTAAACCCACTGCTCTGAGCAGACTGAGCAGCCAGTCCTGCTCCTCAGGCGCCCGAGGCCTACGTGCAGCGAACTGGATTCAGGCCCACACTCATCCTCAGGTCCTGCCCCTGTGCTCATCCTGTCTCGCAGGCAGCTCGGCCTCTCCCCAGTGCAGAGACCGCTTTTCTCCATTTGCTTTTCATCGCCCCACCCCACACTCCAGGTGGCACCAGCCTGTTCGAGCCCTGCTGATGCCCAATAAATGCCTGTGCCCAGCAGGCTCATGGTCCAACCATATGTAACCCCCGTCTCCCCCACACCCAGTCCGTCCACACCTGTCTCCCACCTGCAGGATCACAGCTCACATGAGGCAGCTCGGTCCCTCCTGTGCGGACAGCAGCACCAGCACCGGCCTGTGGGGGCTTTGGCAGCCCATCCGGGGTTGGGTGTGGTCACGTGGGAAGGAAGGACGGGGGCAGGAGGCCGAGAAGGACGAGCACATCTGAGGCAAGCAGGAAAATGTTGAGCCTCTGAGTCATGACCTCAGGCCCCCCTCCAGCTTTCACGGCCCCACATGACCTCCCTGGGACCTGAAATCCGGCATCCAACAGACAATGCGGTTCTCAGCTCTCAGATCTCCCGGCTCCAATCAGAATTCAGCTCTGAGGCTCAGAGTTTATCATGTAATCTTTCCAGCGAGCACGAAGCAAAGCAGTGCTGACCAACTCCACTTCCCCGAACACATTTCTGTTTGTGTATTTACCTGTGAGTGATGCAGAAAGCACGAGTGTTAATGCCGCCCTCTGCTTGGGCCACACTTGGTCGTGCCATCGTAGCCACCAGGTGCCTTCCTGTCCTCCAGATGGCAGGGCCACAGGAAGCACCTGCAGGGCCCCCAGCAGAGGCAGGGCCCAGACTCAGGGGTGCGGCCACAGTGCAGTTCCCACCGATTCAAACACATGAGAGCATCACTGTAAAAGTAACACCTCCCAGCCTCAGCACGGACCTGCTCCCATCACACTGTCTTATCTGCCAGAACCTGCGTCCAGTGACGCCAAGCCAGAGGCTGCCGCCAGGTGACGGAGCCGTTCACCACCACAGGGCAGCAAGACCACTGCTGCCTCCCACAGACAACCCATCCTCTGTGTGGCTACAGGGGCTGACTTTGTTCCCAGCCCTGCCGAGCACTTGTAAATCAACACGAGGATTCGATGACCTGCTCACGCTTGACTTATGCCAGGACAGTGCATCTAGTGAAGCTGGAGGAGGCAGTCAGTGCGCGTCGCCACGTGCCTCACACCGTCTCAGCAAATCCTCAGAACCACCTAAGACACCCAGAAATGCAGGCTCCCGGGGTGAGGGAACTTACGCAGTCTCTCAGCTGGTGGGAGGCAGGGCTGTGAACCGAACGCGGTTCTCTCTAAAAGGCAGAGCGTTTCCCCTCCACACCTTGGCTCACTTTGTGATTTATCAATGAGGCACAATCTTATCTTAAAATAGTAATCTGCGCTGTGTTCTAATTTTTTTTCCTCCCCACCCCACCCACCTATTCAGGCAGAGTCAGACCCTTTCCTGGTTATCATTCAATGGCTGGTTTTCTTCTCAACATAAAAAGCAAAAGAAGGTTGTCATTAATTACTATTCCTGTCCATTGTAAAAGATGCTACCAACTTAAGAAATGCTTCTCAGTGCCTAGGTCGGGAGAAAGAGGGGGAGATGTGGAGAACAGGTGGTGGCTGAGAAGACAGACTGGGAGGACAGACATGGAGGCACGCAGCTGGAACAGCTGGTCTCGCCCCGGGGAGACGTCTAAGGAAGGTGGGTGTGGAGCGGAGAATGCTCCCCCCAGTGCCAGCTCTAGAAAGACACCCAAACCCCCAGCACTGAAGGGCTGCGTGGACTGAGATGTGCGCCCTCTCTGCAGAGACCAACAGATGACCGGGGGCTGGAAGGCCCCCAGGCTTTGGCACAACATACCCCATGGGGAGCTTTACGTCGCTGAGAGAAGCCATGAAAATGAATGAGGTTGGAATTTCAGCCAGCCCAGTAGAAAGGAACTAATCGCAAAAGTTCAGGTGATTTTTAAAAAAATGCTGAGTTTCTTGTTACCTTAGTGCAAGGTTTTATCTGCTTATTTAATCCTGATGGAAGCACCTTGCATGAGCGAGCCCAGCCTCGCCTGTACCCTCTGGAGCACCTGGACTCTATTTTGCTTATCTTCCCTTACCGGAATCTAAAGGCATCAGGCAGGTTGCCTGTTTTCCATCCAGATGTGCTGTCTCCTCTGTGCTGAACTGGATGGACGGGGAAACCACGGTGTGAGGAGAGCTGCGCCTGAACTCGCAGGAGGGTGGGGAGGCAGTGTAAGGTGGGTTGAGGTGTAGCATAAGCAGCCCTTCAGATCTACCTAATGCCTGGCAAGAAATGGGCATCACCAGGACAAACGGCACGGACATACCGGCGGGCACTGGCTTTGAAACAAAGGTACAGCCCTGTGATTTCCGTAGCAAGGAGTCTAGGACACTAGGCTGGAATCATAGCACGCCGTGGTCAAGGTAAGGAGGAGGAGTAACACTCTGTTAACTTCCATCAGAGGTTACCCAGTCACCTCAGAGCGTCTGCCCGTGTCCTGCAGAGCTCCAGGAAGGACAGACACGTAACTTCACTCAGAATTACTTCTAGTTTATAGCAACCCTGCTATGGTTGCACAGCCCTCCTGTTGCTCTTTCTGAAGTCTGGCTGAAATCGGGGTATGGCTGCAGCGTTGTCTGCTGTCAGGAATTCAGCACAACCGTGGAAATATATAAAACCAGCGTGGTGGATGCACATTTAGGAAAACTGCCCCGAAGTCAGAGGCGACGAACCAGACGTACCCTCAGCAACATGAGCGATGGGGTAAAAAGGAGAAAAATAAGAAAAGGCAACACATGATCCGAAGGACAGCACCCCTGAGGACTATTAATAAATAAATGGAGACAGGCGTCAGCAGGATGGCGGATTAGGAAGATCCAGCCCCTTCAGCTTTCACAGAAACACTAAATAAACCACGCGGGACGGGCTAAAAAAATTTTATGGGAGCTCTGGAAATCATGAGACACTTTTGATTTAAAGACATATGAGTTGAAAGTGAAAGTATAAAAAAGGATAATTTATATGAATAATAACCAAAATAGAGCAGGGGTATCACACTAATGTCAGGCAAAATAAACTTCAAGTCAAAAACGGATACGAAAGATGAAGGACAAAAGGCATCATAGGCCCAAAGGGTCAATTCACCAAGAAGATAAACACTTACAAATATTCATGCACCAAGCATCAGAGCCCCTAGTCATGTGAAGCACACGCTGGCATCACTGAAGGGAGGAATAGACAGCTCTGCAATGGGAATAGGAGGCTGCAATGCCTCTCTCTCTCTCTCTCTCTCGCTCTCTCTCTCACTCTCTCTCTCTATATATATACACACACACACATATATATATATAATATCTCTATCATATATATAGTATATAGATGTACATATGATATATATACATACAGATATATATATGTCACTCATAGATCAAACAACCAGACAGGCATGCACTGAACACAGGGCTGAACAACACCGTAGACCCACCAGACCCCACAGACACGTACCCAACACTCCACAGACAGCAAAATACACATTGTTCTCAAGAGCACATGAAACATTCTCCAGCACAGACAGAACAAGTCAATAAATTTTAAAAGACTGAAATTACACAAAACACCTTTTCCAACCACAGTGGAATAAAACTAGAAATTGACAGCAGATAGAAATTGGAAGATTCACAACTGGAAACTGGAGATCAAGCAGCACACACTTAACAAAAACAATGGGTCAAAGAGAAAATCACAGGAGATATTATAAAATATTATGGGACAAATGAAAACAAAAATACAACATGCCAAAATTATGGAATGCAGTGAAAGCAGTGATAGGAGAGAAATTTATTGCTGTGAATGTTTACATTAAAAAAGAAGAAAGAT